ACCAACGCCTTTGGGGCGAGTGTGTGTGTATTTGGAAATCACATACTCTGTATGAGCACTAATCATTCACTGAAAGAGTCAGAGCAAGAATCAGTCAGACTTCAACTCAGACGGACACGTAACCTGTAATTTGTACAAAGGGGAGCTCTCCTTTCCATTGCCTCTGGCTCAGTGTGAGGCTTTTCCAAAGCATGCAGTAACGTCATTTGTTATCCTGCCTGGCCAAAAATCAAGATCTTCCTGCACTGTACAATATCTAAATAGGTTATCAACTAAAGATAGAATTAGTTTACAAAGAATAAAACAGGAAGCTTACTGCTCCAAATCCTTCCATGCCTTACGTTTGAGCCAAAGCTGAAGGAATGCAGTCGACACATCATCCCAGCATGTTCAAGAGACACCAGCTGAACTTGGTTGAACTCGCTGCAGGCAATTCAAGAAAAGCAAAGCGGAGATAATGCTGTCATGCAATGCTGGACCTTGTCGGTTTAAACAAAGTTGCTCAATCTTCAATACTTCAGCTCCTTAAATAACCAGCCATTCTGCATTCACACAGCAAAGCCACAAAGTGTTCAAGTAAGGGCAAACAGGACCACGGGCTACCAGTAGCACATGGTCAAGTCCACACATCTAAGTGTTTCTGCACACACAAACACACACGGGCAGAGAAGGGGAGCACTGGCAGAAGCTGAATGTGTTTGCCCGCTCCAGGGGAGAAGGGAAGAAAGGGAGCAGAAGAGCTGAAACAAACGCATGCTGGCTTCTATTAGTCGAGTTGTGGAGCGGGAAAGAGGGGTGAGGAAATGTATTCATTCCCGCTGCCCCCCTTCATTCCCATCCCTCCAACCCTCCCACCCCATTATCTCCATTCTGGAAAAGCGGTGGATGAAAGGGACAACCCCCCAGTGGCAGCACTTCTCCCTCCAAACTTACGCCGACGCATTCTGACGGCTGCTTAATTGTACGTGATACAGGCAGGGCCCTTTCTCTTTCAAATCTAAAACAGATTGCTTCTCCCTGGGGAGGGGATTATTGGACAAGAGAGATGACAAAGCAGAGACAGTGCAGCCCTCTGGGGGGTGGAGGATGGAGGGGGTCAGCTTGTGGATGGTGCGTATGTGTATACACGTTTTTCCTGTGTTTCTCTTTTGTACATGCATGTGTCACAAGAAGATTATGTTTGTGTCCATGTGTTTCAAATGCGAACACGTGTGGACAACAACCTAGAGCGTGTGCAAAAGCGCCAGCCTCTGATCGTTGGATCTTTGTGTCCGCTTCAAAGTACTTCTTAGGTCCTCTTTTTTTTTTTAATCACATGTTCACACCTCCCTCTCTCTTATCTTGGCCTCTTCTACTTTATCCCTGTTCCACTTTGCCCTTTGTGTCTCTCTTGACCCAGCTTTCTCTTTCCCCCTCTTAAGCCCATGCTGCATCTACGTGCAGTGACATTTAAACAAAAGCAGCTCTGGACATCACAGAAGAAGCATTACATCTCCTCTCTCACTTAGTTGCTTAAAGTATGCTGCAATGAATACAGCCCAAAAGGAGTCCCACATCATCTCTTGCACGATTTATTCTCTGGAGACAATGACAAGAACCTGGTCAGAGGTTATTCCTGGCTTTGCAAAACCTTTTCTTCTTCAAAATACATCTTCTGTCGCCCAACTACTCATCAGGGTAGAAGCTCGAGAGAAGAAAAAAGAAACAATGCCGAAAAATAAAGGTAAGTATTGCATAAACATCTAGTTTGCTGCTCTCTTCATTGTGTGCAAGTGGTTCCGAGGTTTGAGGATTTGGCATTCCTACTAAAGATGAGCTGACTGTGATGTTTGCATGCCCTGACCTTTACCACTCAAATGAGGGGGCTGAACAAACACATGAGGGTGCTATTGTGAGCTCCCTAACACGCCCCCCCCCCCCCCCCCCCAAAAGAGATCACTGCAGTGGGTGTGTGCGCATCCTGATTTGCATGGCATATTTCCCTGGAGAAATGTTCCTTAAAAGTCAAGGACACATTTGAAGGCTGCACGTAAGTGCATCGAAACACAGTGGAAGTGTTTGATCAGTGAGGACAACAAAGGAACTGAGAAAGTGGCTGACTCATCTAAAGATCGCCTTTCTAGATCCCACACAAATAAAGGCATGCCAAATACTCACTGTTCAAATACTGGTCATTTGCAGTGATAGGTCTGTGCAATCTACTCCAGCGCTACTATGCAATCAGGCGAGCGTGAGGAACACTATCATTAAGCCGAAGAGATAAACAAGTGCTGGAGGAGAGGGTGGTTTAGGAAATCTTTCTTAACATCTCACACACAAGAGAACACACACAATCTATGGAAAAGACAGAAAGAGATGCTATATAACTAGAGGGATCAAAAGGCATGAAACCAACAATCTTCTCTTCGCAAAGATGCAGAAGCATTCAGCAGAAGAATTTGTTGGAACTGTTGGCTTGTTCAACTGTTCCATTTGATTGCAGTTTTCAGTATAGATGGATAGTGCATCATTCAAGAGTTAGAGCTCAAATGTTCTCATTGAAACACTCACTGAATTTAAAGTCATATGAAAAATAATCTTAAAGAATTAAAGTACTACCTACTGTACATGGCACCTAGAATGAATGCATACTTGTAATCCCCTTTCTTACAGTATGAGTCTGCTATGAATGTTTTTGACCTTCATTAGTCGGCATGTAAGAAATCACCCAGGATGTCTGGGAAGCCTCTGATTCACTGTGGTTGGCATTTAAAAAAAATTAACACACAGATAAGACGAATATTGTTAGTATAAATACTACTTCTTCCTCATCATACTTAACAGGAGACCAGATTACTTCATTTATTGCATTCACACGCCCACACACACACACATTCACCACAGTACATTCAATGATGGCAGAGCTGCTACTGGAACAACGTTTGTCTTGGCGAGGGTCTACTCCCCAGAACCTAATTATTTGCAGCAGCTGCTCACGCTCTTGTTTGTAGCACAGTGAAGCTAAACTGTTTAAAGGATCTCCTTCTCTTCTGAGCTGGCAGACAGCGCTGAGTTCTAAAAAAAAAGGTCCCAAAGCTGCTTTGCTATGCTCTGGGTGCGGTAATCAAGATTGAATCGAAAATCTGCTGGGTGAAATGAAAGTGAAGGGAAGATTTATGGATCAGTCTTGTCAAACTGTGAGAGTTTAAAGGCAGGCCTCATCATTTTTTCTCCAGCTCCTCAATTCAGTAATACAAATTGGCACTTTCAATGTTTTGAAATGTAAGCCAGTCTGGCCACTGATCTTGCCTGGTACATACAAACCGCTTTGAAAAGAACCACAGCATATTGTTTTCCATTTATAAAAACACGTTTCTTTGGACTAGCAGAATGGATGAAAACATTTGTCATACACACAGTAAATAAAGTTGTAAGTCATACATTTTCCCCCTAAAGTAGATGAACTTTCATAGCAAATGTATACATGAAATGTACAAAATTGATTTTGAGAGAAAATTAAATTTGGTAAAAGGATATTTTGGAGCATGTTATTTGTATATGTGATGTTTCTCTGCTATGACTATCGATGACAGCCATTCTATTTGACTTCAAAACTGGGCGCAGTGGTCAGCGCGCACCCCATGTATGGAGGCTATATAGTCCTCCAAGCGGGCGGCCCAGGTTCAGATCCAACCTGTGGCTCCTTTCCCGCTCTCATTCCCTGATTTCCAACTCTATCCACTGTCCTATCTCTACAATAAAGCCATGAAAAGCCCCCCCCCCCCCCAATTTTTTTTTTTTTTTTAAATGTTCCAGTTTCTAATATAAACTTCTCCCTCAATTCTCCCTAAAACCTTTCAGCTGTTACCCTCATTGATCTTCTATTTAGCCAAATTCTCCACTGGCCTTAACGCAACAGTTGCCACAGCATATTGGTGGTTGTGTTAATACTTGAAGAAACAAGCAGGAAGTGTAGCTGCAGCTGGTTTACCTAGGTAAACAGAAATCTACACAACAGCAGCTTTCACCCATACAACCACCTCTCTTCTCAGCCCGGCTGCTGTCCACACTGCCTTTCACAGCTGCACAATCTCCTTCGCAGACACCTCATACACACACATACAGACACACATACTGTATACACCCACATGCAAAGTGCCTTAAGCTAGGCATAGGTACCATACATCATATTGCCACTCCACTGGCAAGTTTCCCTTCTCACTTGACAGGAGTTCAATGGCTGAAGTGAGGTATACAATCTGAGTCTCTGCCTCTCTTCTGAGCTCTGACAGTTTGTCCGGAAAACACTCTTCAGCAGCTCATCCATTTAGCATAAACTGACACATGGTGCCAGAAGTGCACTCTGAATAAGATTTATGTAAAAACTGATCCTGTCTGACTGAAGTGAGGGAATTTAAAATACTGCACTGAATTATGGAAGTGTACATAAAATGGGATTTCATTTGCAACTACAGCAGATGGCAGAGTAAATAAAGAAACTATTCATCATTGATGAAAACAGAATCAATCAGTCAGGAGAGACAATCAGAGAGAAATACAGAACTGATATTTGTTACCCATGTTGAGTACATAACTCTTAGGATGCCCTCACTGACACAGTTAATAATGCAGCATAGTGTTTTTGATTGACAGCAAACATTTTCAAAACTTAGCTCTCTTTCCACTCTCCACACATCCTGCATTCAGAGAGATAGAAATTAACAGATGGCTGCTTATGGATTGTGGAAAAATGACATTAATGGAATGTGCTGCTGTCTAATCCCCTGAGACTAAGGAATTTGCGATGGAGGGAATTCCTGTCATTCAGGGGAAAACTATGAAGTCCAGTACACAGAGCGACTGTAAAGGTAGCACATACTTATTACACTTACAGACTCCCACTTTGACAGCCTGCTGCATCAAAAAATTACTGCAAATTGTGTAAACTAGGCACCAAGAGCAGTGGAGAAAAAGTGGTAAACAGAAGAAAAAGGGCAAAAATAAACACATTGAGAAAGTACCTGAAATGCAGGAGAGCAGAGTGCCGGCCGAGTGAGTGAGAGGCAAGGCAAGGATTGGTCTTCTGTGTTTGCTTCTCCTGTTTCTTGAGCAGTTCTCCCTTGTCCCTGTCTTGAAGCTGGATTTTGGGTTGAATAGTAGGGGGGACCACACAGCTCCTGGAAGACAACCTCTCTCCTCTAATCCTCTCTCCGATGTGATGACACTCTCTAACCTCGACCATCTGTTGAAACACGTCCTGAAGCAGTCAGCACCGCACTGTGTCAAGAACCCCACTCCCCTGCCCAATCACAGTCCGGCTGCTGGGTGGCTCCTTGCTGCCAGGAGGCAGGGACAAGGACACAGCACAGTGCTGAGGGAGACACACACACACACACACACACATACACGCAGTCACACACATACACAGATACTCTACGAGATGGAAGCAAGAAAACTCCCAGTCATCGTAACCCGAGAGGCAGAGTAGGAGGAAGGGACGGGGAGAGTGAGAGGAGTGGAAAGCGAAGGAATGGGAGGGGAGAGAGGGTGAGGGAGAGCAAGAGTGGAGAGAGAGAGAGAGAGAGAGAGAGAGAGAGAGAGCATGCAGGAGTTGAGAGGGACAGAGAGAATGTTTGTGTGGCGGAAAAAAAAAGAGATAAAAATAAGAAGATAAACTGAGATTGTGCTTTATATTCTGCTAATGTTACATAACATTTCTCTAGCAATTGCTAAAAACACACTGATACAGAAACTATTTTACCCTCTGTACCAGACCACTCTCCTCCTGTTCCATCTGCAGCTGCTGAGTATGGGGTATAAAGAATCAAACTAAAACAGCTATAAAATTCTGTATTGCCTTCATGGTGGGAATGCTGTTGGCACTAAACTGTTACGTCTCCAGGCACAGAAGCACAGGCAGCAACCCTCACACCTTAGTGTGATAAATCCATACAGTCCCCCAGCTGCATTCCTGCCCTTCACCACCTATTGCCTTAAGTTAAAAAGGAGGGCAGAGGGGAAAGACACTAAAATTACAAAGCTCAGGAAAGAGGGAGACAGAAAAGGAAAAGAAAAGAATCAGAGATAAGAAGGGTTACGGGTTTACGGCTTGATGGGAGCAGACTGATGGAGCTGACAATCACCATCAAAACTGTAACTGATACGTTTCTGAAATGAACCAAACTATTTTCAACTCATTCACACATAACCCGGGGGACATTTGTTGAGAAAATCTGTCACATTAATCATTTTGTTCAACCACTGTCCTACTCACTGATCCATTAAAAAAAAAAGGATTACAAGACCCTGATGATACTCAGCAGCTACTTCAAGGGCAGCCCTAATGAGCTGATGCCCATTTGATATCCGACAGCATCACAATGAGTTAATCAGAGGTGTGAAACGACAGAGGAAGGCTTCTAAGTGGGTCATTTACATTCAATAAGAAGCATCGACACCGTGGCCTCTGTTTCAAGTCTTTGATAATACAACTAAGTGTAAACATGTTAACAGACTGAGAGTAATGAAGAACATTGATTGTCTCCAAATGACTCTTAATCAATGGTAAAGTTTTCCCACATTATTCTTAATACTCAACTTTTAATGGGATAACTTCCTTTTATATAAAGCCATCTCATACTATTTGTTGTATCTTGAAATGATTTGTAAGTATGGGACCTGTCTTGTTAAATTTCTTAGATGTTATGCTGTAATGTGGCCGAGATCTCCCATGTGTATCATGTTTACATTTTAATTTGATTGCACCACAAACAACTTCATAGAGATTTTCAGTGAGAGTCATGGTTATATTCACCCCAGGTTTACAAATGAGGATATTGAATTAAACTAAACAAAGCTTATTTTCACCAGGGACACGTGAAACTTTCCCCAGCTTGGACTGATGTTTGCAACAGGGGCAGCGATGAGGGAGAAAAGAGAGCCTTCGGGGGAAAGAGCTCAAATTAGATTAACTAAATTCACAAAGACTGTCCCCAGCCCCTCCTGCATGGCTACACACACCCCAACCCACACCTCGAAGCCCCAGCCCCCATTCTCACGGCCGAGAGGTTTCCAAAGGGCCTTCAGGCAGGCCAGGGGCGACCAAATCCCTGTGCTCTTTACTGGATTAAAGATTGCTGCCCCACTGGGGGAGAGGGTCTGTTTTTTCATAAGCTGAGCACATCTGTAAACATCATAAATCCACTGAGACAGAAAAGGTTATCAGGCTAAGTTTGTGTGAGGAAAACAAGTACCAGGCCTTTCCAGCAAAGACGCACCTAGAAACTTTGAAGAGTTAGAATTTGCTCATTCACCGATTGCAAACACACATCGTTCGATTCACCGCTCTTTCCATTTTCACTTCTGCTGATGGACACAACAGCAACAAAAAGTGAGGGCGAAGTGAGGTCTATAAAATGGCCCCATCTTACAAATAACTGAATGACCTGCAGGAAGGCCAGTAGTTCTAGTCTCCCCCCCCTCCCCCTCCCCCTCCCCCTCCCTCCATCTTCACAAAGAATTCAACAAGACCATCATGAGGATATCTGACTTTAAATAGCTTCAAGGAGGCCAGTTTTGTCAAATTTGTGACCTCTCTAATTTGACCTCAAAACAGGATAGTGTCATCATAACGTCTTTTCTCCCAGCTTTACTTTAAAAATTGATTTTCACATCTCCAAACCATTCCCCCCCTTTTCCGTCCAGCTTTCCAACCATCAGTTGGGCCTGCAGGTGCAGGCAGAGGCCAGTGTTGGGGGGGGGCTACTCGGTTCACTAGCCCCATTCACTCTGGCTGAATGAGATACATAGGGGTGTCATTGCTGTGGTCCGCCCTCTGTGCCAGTATAGAGTGCAAGCTGGAGCTGGGGGGATACTGCCATGATGTGGAGGAAGGAAATCATAGGGGTGACTCTGGCTTAAGCTGCACAGTGGTTGTTTTTTTTTAAAACCAAGCACATAGGTACTACCTTGCTATCCATGCCCTGTAATAACATGCTGTAGATTTGTGTCAGCTGTTTAGGATTCCTTTGAGATCCTCAGGAGTCTATACATCAAGGACCAACTAATTAACCGCTAACACTGGGAGCAGAGCTTATAAGACAAATCTATTTTCTACCACGAAGCAAGGTGTGCTTGAGTTTGTACTCCACAGTGATGTTGTTTCTAGGGACTAGATTTGCTTCTGTCCAGTGGCTTCCCCAGGACCCCTTCCACTCCAGGAGGTAGAATCAGTGTCATGTTGAGTTCATGCCAGAGAGGCACGGATGGGAGCCTGGGATGTGTGGGATTCAGCAGGAAAGCACGAGAGGACACGCACAGTTGGTCATGAATATAAACGGCTACGAGGAGAAATGAAAGGCAGGAGAAGGAAGGACAGAGAGAGGATACAGGAATACAGTAGGGACAGAGGGGCAGCAGGGGTGAAGGAAAGTAGAAAAGAAAGTAGAGAATAGAGGAGGAGGAGGTGAGGGGGCTTCTGTGGTTCAGTGACAGCTGAACACGCAGCACACGCATGTGGAGGGAGCTCTCCTCACGCCACCCTCCTGCTGTGTCATGCATGTGCCCCTTTTTCTTCTCCTATGTGATATAACACACATGAAAACAACAAGGCCATGCAGACATGGTAAGATCTGCCACAGTATCCTGAAGAAAGCAAATTGCCAGATCCCCCCCCCAGGACAACCAATACTTATAGTGTACATGCAGATTAACAACCTTATAAAGGTGCGTCGCTATGAAATAAGGATTATAGTAAGTTGTATTTGTTTGCTAGAGTGTGCTAGCTTCTGTTTTCTAGCTTAGTTGTTTCTGTATAGGTGTTTTTTTAAGCCTATAACCACTGCTTGGGGAGAGGGGGTTCATACATGACGATTATTTACGGCACGCTGAAGAAAAAGCCTTTCTACAGTTTCCACAGCAAATCTTCAACATTTCAATGTTAGATGTTAAAACATGATGGGTTTAAAAACAACAACAACAAAAAAACACCGGCTACGGCTGTTTTGGACAAGATGAGGAAAGCGATCAAAAGTTTGATACCACTTTGTCGACAGGAGGCACCAAAAACAACACAAACTGAAGTTCCTCACAGGGGCTTTGACTACCAAATCTTTTTAGAGTTAGAGAGGTTTGGAGCTCAGTTACTTGAAACAGCTAAATTGAGCCGTTACCCTTATCTTTCTGTTGTGATGTTAACATGCTTTGTATGTTAGGAGCATTCAATTTACAAGTAGTCAACAAAACTCTCACTTGCATGGTAAATCAAAAGGATTTTTTTATTTTACTCAAAGGTTAACAATGATCGCTACAATAAACATTAAGGCTGACACCTATATTTGAAAAGCTGTTGTCAAGCAGCTAACAGGTAGAGCTGCAGACCAAAGGGAATACACTAACACATCATGAACTCATTAACAGTAACCTGAGACCAAGTGTTGAGTGATGATGATAGGATTTAGAGGTCTGTTAATAATGACATCCACCAACAGACTTTGGTTGGATGCCAGATGTGCCAACACTTCAATGGCAGATGTTTACATGATGGTCAACCATGGTCACCAAACATCAGTGAGTAAAGACTGTTGGCATTTAGGGCAGAGTATTACCTCAAAAGCCATTAGCTAACATGAAGTGACTATATTTTCATGAAAGAAACTTGTTCTTCCTCACTCCCCAAACCTCAGTACATTTAATCTTAAAGTCTGTGGATCTGAAGAAAATTACGAGTTAGATGTCCGTTTCTCTTATATCAAACAGATTGTTTTATTTGTAATGATAAAAAGGTGAAAAAAACTTACCAACTTCCAGATATATAACTCAAGAATAATGCAGCCTATATTGGGTTATTCTTGGCATAAAAAGAAATGAAAGTGCACCCAGATTTTCCAAATAGCAACTGTCAGCATATTGCTCAATCCATCTTCCAGAGGGATTTAAGAACACACAGAGACTCTTCATGAACAAGTCTTACACAGTTTGTTGCAGATATTGGGCAGATCAATCTCCAAATCCATCTAAAAAATATTTCAATTCAGTGTTCAATGAAAACAGTAGCAGACCTCTTTTTCATCTTTTTTTTCCAAACTTCAAGTATGATTTATGTTGAGAGTAACAATCAACATAATGATAGTACATAGAACAAATCTGATAGACCACCCAGAGAGCTCTCTCAGAGCAGGATTTGGACCTTCTGAGAACTTCTACAAAAGTAGGGAAAAGATAGTGAGAGAAGCCAATCCTATCATGCTCCTGATCTGGTGAATCATGGGATAACGGAAACCATTCGGGATAGCCTTAAGGTTCAGTAAATTGCTAAATGGCTGGGAACCAGTGCTGTAAGCAATGAGATAGATACAGCGGGGGAGATACTGATCGCTCTCCCTGGGTTCAAGGAAGAAGATGAAAGGCATTCTGCCAGATCAGACAATGGCGATAATGTA